CAGCGTCCATTTGGCAGGCCCGGGCAGTGCTCAAGAGGCCGGGGGTCAGATTGGCCCCATCAGCAGTCATCCACGGGGCAGTGGCTCGTGTTTAGACAAAGAAACAGACTCGTTCAAAATGAATGCTTGAAAACAAAGACAGATTTTGCAAAGATGTACCACACCTTATGAGAGATGAAGGGAAATAGTGGAGATGATATTTTTTGCCCCTGCACCCCCATCTTTGAAGGGGAGTTGTCCCAGATCACACACTTAGGAGAGAAATCGGAGCTGGCAATGACATACCGTGTTTCCAGAATAAGCCTCAGTATCTGCAATGGAAACCTCCAGCAAGCTTGGCACTCAGAACGCTGCCTAACTGGAAACCACAGGGGCAAATAATGCTGGCCGTGTTTTTTTTTCCTTCCTCCTGCAACAGCAGCCTGCATCACCTATAAACTGTCATGCAATCCTCAAACTTTGTCTTTGAACTACATGACACCTTTTTTCTTTCTTGAACGAATTTGATGCCAGTTCCCGAGCACCTTCTGGGGAAGGTGGCCTGTTTTGTTGTTGTATTGTTATTTTTCTTTTTACCTTTTTAAAATTAAAGTTTTACAGGTACAAAAGTGCACAGTTCATAAGTGTACAGCTCAGTGAATTATGACAAAGGAGGTGCATCTGTGTAGCCACAGCTTGGGGGAAGAAACAACATCGCCAACCCTTTGGAAATTGCCGCCCCCCACATTATTTCCCTTCTTTCCTCCCTGAAGGTCACCACTGCTCTGCCTTCATAACTCTGCACCATAACTTGGTTTTTCCTGTCTTTGAACTTTATGTAAATTTTCCTACAATATGTGTTCGCTTGTATCTGACTTGTTCCTTTTAACATTATGTTTGTGAGCTTCATCTAGCTTCATCTTTCAATATCTGGGCCTCTGGGTTAGGTAAGAAGGATTTCTTGAGATTAACCTGAGATTCTAAATTCCGTAGTTTGTAACTGGGAAGGTTTTCTTCCCTCACCATGGCAATGTTTTCGCAGTAAGCTTGGAGTGCTTCCCGCAGGAGTGTTTTTCCAAAAAGTGGGATAACTCAGCTTTGTTGCGTCCTCCTTATTGATGAGAGACTTGGCTCAGAATGACTTTCGACTGTTTACAAAGTTCAATCCTGCCCCAGAGGACAAGAAATGACTGCCTCTTAGATTATTCACAATATCAGGCCACCGTCTCTTCTTTGTGAAGAAGAGGGACAAAGATGCTTTCAGAGCACCTGTTAGTCAGTGCACGCCAGTCAAGGCTGGGGCGGTGCTTTAGAAGACTGGGAACTCTTTCGAACTTTCAAATTCAGAACTCGTTGGTATCCTTTTATGGTTCTGTGTTGAAAGGCATATTCTGGTCTGTGTACAGTAGCGGATGAAACAGCCAAGCCTTTCAGATATGGATGCTAATTACCTGAAATGCTTTTCTGTTAGAGCCCAGACAACATGAAAACAACATTCACAAAAATCCAACCCCTTCCTCCAAATGTGCCTATAATTCTATCGCCTAGCAAATAAATGATTGTTTTAAAATCTTTATCCATGTTCATATGGAATGATTATATAGTTGTGACAAGGTTATATCATTCTTATAGACTTGAAGTTAATATTTTAATTATTCTTTGTTGCTGTATAGTCCATAAATGACAACTTTAAGAGTAGTGTGATGTTGTATTAATGCAGTGGTCCATGAGTTGTATAACCATTCCTTTATTTTGGGCAATGTGTTATTTTGTTATTTTTTTCTCCCACTGTTATAACTTATATGGCAGGGGATTCTTTCTTGCATGTAAACTTATTTTGAATTTTCTTCTTCCTTTGAATTAATTCCTAAGGACATATTTCCAAGAGCAGGATGGCTATTTTTTTTTTTTGGTGGTGGTTTTAATGGTGTGTTGCACTGTCAATTACCTATTCAAAACATCGTACCAGAAATGTGAAAGAGTCTCAGCTTCACGCTTTCATTTTTAACACTTCTTGTTACTAAAAATGGGTATCTCACCATGTTATAATTTTTATTTATTTGATAACTCATAAAATTAAACAGATGTTATGAAGATTAAAAGAGTTAGTGTTCATAAAGCATTAGTACCATGGGCTTCTGGTGTGTATATGAGTGCTTGCTGTCATTGGACTGCTTTTGATTAATTAAATGTGATTTTATTTTCTCTTGAGTACATTGTTTGGCCATGCCCTTTTTTTGTCTATTTGCTTTTTGGGGTCTTGGTGTTTTATATTCATGCCTTTAGTGATTCCTTCAACAGCTGTTTTGCTGGGACTCGTTTGGTGGCAGTCAGTGGAGGCTCATTTGTGGTTGCTGAGGCAGACAGGGGCGTTTACTGTAAAGGTACCAGGGGTCTGATGGAGACTCAGGGTCTCCATGTTTGCGTTACCTGTTCCTAGTGCTCTTCACCTCCTCGTCACTGGGCTGGTCCTCCCCATCCTCCCATCTTAGCTCAACATCACTTCCTCACAAAGGCCTTCTCTGATGACCTGGCCCCAAGGCCATACCCCATCCAGCCCCTCACCTTCCACCACACCTCCCTGCCAGTTTCCTTTGTGATCTGTTGTTATTGACAGTTATTTATTGGCGCATGGCCAGTTGTCCATTTAGGCCATGACCTCCATGAAGCAGGGTTTCTGCTGTCTTGTTCATGCTTGTCTCCCAAGGTCAGGCATGGTCCCTGGGGGCACATGGCACCCCGTGAGTGGATGCTCTCAAGTGGATGAGCACAGCCAGCTGGTGACCATCTTCATCCTTCAACTTTGGCCCCTCTGCTTCCTTACTTTGTTCTAACATCCTGTCTCTGTCTCTCTTCCTGTGCTCTCCCCCACTCCCCTGCAGTAAACGCTCTATTACAGTGTTTACTTGTTTCTTCCACAGAGTGAAAACATGACTCCCAAGAAGAGCTCCTGAGTTACGCGCTCCATATTTGGACAGTTCAAATTCCTGGCTCCCTTGGGCCACTTGTCCACTGTGGTCCAATCTCCTGTGTCCGGGAGTGGGGGATGGCAGGTTGGACCATGTGGCCTGCTCTAGTGAGTCGACTACTTTATCATAAGGTGTAAGCAGTTATAATGGCAACACTAGGTGGCCGTGTTGATTGTGGGAGGGGAAGACAGAGCGGCTTCTGACTGGGGCTCCTGAAACTTACTGTCACCTGGTCTCCAGCATGCTCTCGGTTCCAAGCACTTAGGATGTGGAGTGAAAAGTGCATAGTCCTGTTCCCAAAGTACTCATAGCCTGCCAGGGTGCCGATGGACCAACCAAAGATGAATAAATTAATGACTTTGGCGGTTAGGCACTTTGGAGACAATAGTGGGATACACAAACAACCACCAAAGCAAAAAACAAAAACCTCCACTGTCACGAGGCTAACATTCTACTGAGTGAGACAGATGATAATCATGGTAAATCAATAAAATATACGGTATGTTGCAATGGAAAGATGGAAACATCTCAAATGTTGAGGAAATTGAGATATGAAAGCGAAAATATGAATATGAAATGATTCAGTTTCAATATGAAAATATTATAAGCTGAATGAATGAATATAAGCTAAACATGAATCAGTATAGGGGGATGAGGACTACGATTTTAAATAGGATGGTCTGGAAGGACTCAGTGAGAAGGTGACATTTGAATGGAGACTTGAGGGGGAGGAGCCAGCAGGGTGCAGGGGTGTCTGGGACGAGCACCAGTTCCTCATCCATGAAAGGGCAACATCGCAGCCTCCCAGGCTTTTGGGTGTACAGTGAGATCGTACAGCTCACGATGTATGATCAAGTGCACCTAAAGTCCTAGTACAACTCACGATGCCTAATAGACCAGGAGGTAGAGCGAGCCAGGTACATTGTGGGAAAAATGAATTGATTTTAAAAAACCCAATCTCTTTTATTCTTTGAAATCTTCCTTCTCTTGCCCTGGGATGCTATGTGATTTGCATCCACATGCAATCATTTGATGTTCATTTACCAGCCCTTTGAGGTCAGTCTAACCTCGAGTAAATACTGGGTTTTCCAGCCGATTCTCCCTGTAATTCTCAGGAGTCTCTTGATAGAAAACAATCTGATGGTCTCAAAGCATTGCTCTTTTATGATTAGTCATGAATCTGCATCCCATTATTTTAATTAGGCAGCAAAAGATTATGTCAAGTACTCTCCCAGGCCTGTTTGATAGGGCTGTCAGTGGCTGCTGAAAACATTTGTAATATTTATTGCCAGTGCTCTGATGCCTCAATAAGGGATGGCTTTTAGGAGCTTCCTCTTTCCTTGTCTCTTGCAGAGCCTTGGAAGTATACCCATAAATGGCTGACTCTTGATTTCAAATGAGGCAATTCCATTTATTCATTTCAGGCTTCCTTTCTAGCACTTAATCTTTTACTCTTTGATCCAAGCGCTTGATAATGAGTGACAAAATATTTATCAACTCGGAGAATGGTTCTATCAGCTTCTCCCCCTCCCCCAACTCCAGTGGTGAAGAACCCAACACAATTTTGCTAAGGCTGCCTGGCACCCTGATGATGTATTCATGTGAGTTGTGTATTAGTGAAGAATATATATAGCTGATATTATACTGAAGATGTGTAGAAATGTGTGGCTTTATGTTCAAGAAGAGATGGTACTGTGTTTAGGAAAAAACTTGTAATTGCTCTCTAATTATAACTTGTGTCTTGCAAGTGAAAAAAATTCCCCACACTTTGAGCTTTCAGAATTAGTAAAATCTAGAATTTGGAGTTCATTCACCTGGAATAATAGGTACAATTGTAGTATAAAAATGCTTATACAACTTGTTACCATTTGCTGCTCTTATCAAGAGTGTTGTTCATATAAGATGTACAAAATTGCTTGTTTCTTGTTCATTTCAGTGTAATGAAATGCAGGGAATATATTCAGTCTGTGTGCACACTCAAGTGCTGGGGTGCCAAGATGAATAAGACATGGTCCCTGTCTGTGGGTGGATGAAGGCAGCCCCTGACTCGTGAGCAGTTTGTTGCAATGCTGTAGAGTCGGTGCACAGACTGAAGATTGTGGACAGCATGTAGTGAGGCCAGTGAAGGGCTGGCTTTTAGCCTAGTAACCAAGGATGTTGTTCAACTTGCTTTGAGTTAAAGTGAAGACTGGCCAGATGCTGAGAGGCAGTGCATCCCAAGCATGAAAAATGTTACCAGAGGCTTGGGGATCTGAGATTGGCCAGGCAGCAAATTCTGAGAACTGAAGGAGTTCAGTGTTACGGAGCCTAAATCCAGAGGGAACAGGTACAGGAGGAAGTCAGACAGGGGTGGGGCAGGAAAAGTTAGTTCTGATTCTGGAAGGCCTTCTGTGCTGTGCTCTGGAACATCAACTGTGTTCTGTAGCTGGGGTCATTGGTGGATTATGCGAGAAGGACTGTGGGATGGTTTATGCTGTAGGTCATCTGGATGGAGGATAGGGCATCAAGATTGATACATGGTGCCCTGAGGAAGTGTGTACACCAGTAGGAACTGCTTGTTGTTGAACAATTTACTGCTATGAGAAGTAGGTCATGTTTATATTTAGTTGCACATTCTTGTATTATTGCAATTTGAGGTTTTATTTACACTAATCACGGACAAAAAGTACAGTGAGCTCCAAGTAGCTATTAATCTGTTTTTAACATACAGGCCCAATTACCCCATTTATTGAATGTTTAAATATTGCTAAAACATTAATCTTCTTAAGAGAGTAATGTTTGACATTTCTCCAGTTTTTTTTCTAGCATTCCCTCAAAAATGCCTTTTGTACTCCTACCAGAGTTGGAATTCTGCAGCACAGATCTTGCTCTTTGCTGACTTCCATCCTACAGATTCATCTGTCTCTCACGGTCACATCCAAGCTCCTTAGTGAGATGGTCCAGGATGTTATCGACCCCCGACCTTTCCAGGTCAGCTCTTGTCCTTTTGCAGACCTCAGACTCCAGGTTCCAGAAGAAAGATCCAGCTGCTCCACTTTCCTGACCCCGCTGTGGTCCATTCCTCTGTGCTCTCACCCTCAGTGCCCTTCTCTTTAGGCAGCTGGACGTACCATTACGTTTTCTTCAGGAGCCTGTTTCAGTGTCATTGCCCAAGGGGCTTCTCTGGAGTTGGCTATTCTGCTGCCACCTGTTGAAGACCAAGCATGCTTTATCACATCTGTGCACCTCTTTGCTGTTCCCTTCTGAGATTCTGGACTCCCACATGGCAGGGGATGCCTTTGTGTACCTGGCGCCACGTCTGGTACTTCGCTTACAGTGGGAGCTGTGGCTTGGCGACACTCACCTTGTCCTCCGCTTCTTTCCAGGGAAGCAGTTTAAGTGCACGGTGTGTGACTACACAGCAGCCCAGAAGCCACAGCTGCTGCGGCACATGGAGCAGCACGTCTCCTTCAAGGTAAGACGGCTCAGGAGGCAGAGGTTGGTTCAGACTGGAAGTGCACTGCTTTTCATAATGGAGATGGAGAGAGCAGCCTTTTGGTGCTTTTCTGTGTTACCTTCGCTTTCAGGCCCCCTTAGCTGGTACACACAGAGACATAGATCAGTTTACTCTGTGCTCTCTTTCTAGAAGTGTAGCGTTACTGTGTATTTTGGAAACCAAGTCAAGGGTGTGTAAGAGGATGCAGACAGAAGAAAAGGGATGCTCTTACTGTAAAAACACCGGAGTGATTTCAAAGAAACCATCCAGGCTTTAAGGACAGGTATTTGTACTTTTAGATCCTGGATTAGCTCATGTGAATCACCTAATAAACCAGGTGTGATGAGGATAAACTGATAAACTAGGAGTGAGAGGATGTCTCACCTGGCAGGTGGTTGTAAGACTGGAGATTGTGCTCGGCAGTGCATAGCAGGGCTGGGGCAGGGGATCTCCATATCCTTTTAATGACTCTGATTGATGTTTCTTCAGTGTAGGTGGTAATATTTGCTTAGCCACTGCTTGTGATGCAGTTATTGACAACAAGAACTGTGATCCAGTAATTTGTTCAGTAAAAAATCCTGCTCAGCACTTGGGGCAACTTGACTCTTAAAATTGATGCTGCTGTTGCTGCTGGTATGTGTGTGTGTGTGTATATATATATGTATATATACACACATACACACATGGAAATAGAATCAAGATTTGCAAACATGTTGCTCTGAAATGGTTTTGGAAATTTTGTCTGCTGCTAAATCCCAGAGAAGCATAGAAGGTGGGAAGGACTACTGGCCAGCTGTTTTGTCCTGCAGAATCTATGGCTAGAATCACCCCAAAGGTAGTATTAATAGCAGGGGAGTTCCCACAAGGGAGTGACCCAAACTGTCCTGAGATGGGGCTAGTTGGGATTCTAAAGAAAGATGCATTAGACACTGGAGTGATGAGTCTGAAGCATTTAAAGAGTGCTGTAGCAGTCTTTGCGATAGGCAGCTAGAGAAAAGGGATGTCCTACCTAGTATGTCCACAGTGAAGGGGGCAGAGCATGGAGTTTTTACGGGTGTCTAAGGAATTTGGCTCAGGATCTGGGCCAGTTTCTTCTGGATAACAACCTCAATACCTTTATCAGTGCCTGGGAATGTTCAAGGCCCCAGGTTGGGTTCAAGCCTGCTGGGAAAAACCCGCAGCTGGCTGCGTCACAGAGCACTCTCTGATTTTACATCAGGACACAGAAAGAAAGCAGGGGGAACTGGGAGACCCTGCACCAGCACCCTCCTAGCTCACATTTATTGAGCATCTATTGTGTGCTGGCACTCTGCCAGGAACTTCATGTCCATCAACTCCAATCTCACCCACAGTATTTACTATTGCTCCTCTTTGATAAATGAAGAGCCCGAACCTCAGAGAAGTTAACTGATTACCTGTCAGTCTTTTCCGCCATGTCCATATCCACAGATTCCAGTAGCCATGATTCTATTATCTGACCTGTGTTCACCACTTCTGAGGTGGCGAGGACCTTCCCCTTGGCAAGTTCGTCTTATGCTCACAACAGCCTTGTGAGAGGTGAATTCTCCTGGTTTCTCCTCTTGTAGTTGGAGAAGCTGAGTTGCTTAGAGGGTTAAGGACATACATTCTTTCAATATCCAGGAAGTGAAGGTGCTAGAACTTGGACTTCATCCTCTCACTCCTAGTGCTGTACTTTTCTTACTATGTCTTCTCAGTTACTTGTGGGCAGAAAGAGAGAAATTGGAAAAACTAAGGATGTTGCAACCCATTGCTTATGTAGCTACTTTTTACGCCTGTGTGGAACATGAGTTTCTTATGTAGGACCCATATGTCACCTGGTGGGATTGTGGCAGTGTCTGCATTGAGGAGGGTCTTCATTGTTATGCATATTTTATATATAATTTAAATTAAGAGCTTTATTTCACATTTCACAGCACATAGGTGTGTTTCTTTGGGGACAAGTACAATTATTGTGCTAGAGAATGGAAACTAAGGCAACTCTCACTTTATAGATGAGAAACTTAGTGAGGTTAATTGTTTTCCTAGCTATTCCAGAACTGATATTAGCCTTTGCTTTCATTGCTTGGTTTTCAGTGTGGAACATTTTCCTTTCCTAACCAGACACAGCTGAAACAGTCTTTCTGCCCTGAAATCCTCTTTGTTTTCTTTCCAGGTTTATGGACTATTTGGTTTAGGTACAGAGGAAATGGATTGGGGGTTGGTTTTAGTTAAGGCACCACTCACGTATGTGGTTATTGACTTTCCTGCCATTGCAGAGTTGGGATCCAGCACTGGGCCTCAGGAGCTGCTCACTGAGCTGGACCTGGGGTCGTGGCCAGTTTCCCTCGGGCTCCCTGTGGATTCCTCCTTCCTGAGTGGTACTGCAGATGGGAATGAGACTCAGGCCTGAGTGAGAAACACTAAATGCAACCATGGGTTTCTCTCATCCTATAAGTTAGGGTGCTCTTCTAATGCAAGTGCATTTAGGTAGTGCTTCTCAGCTAATTGGGGCTGACAGAGCAGAATGAAATTGCTTCATGCCAAGCACCCTCATCCAAACAGTAATTACTTACTGCCTATCTTCCCCTCTCTTATTAGTTTACTATTGCTGCTGCAACAAATTAGTGGCTTAAAATAACACAAAATTATTCTCTTACAGTTCTTAGTTTAGAAGTCTGTCACACTAAGATGAAGTCAAGGTGTTGGCAGGGCTGCTTTTTTTTTTTTCTGGAGGCTCCAGGAGAAACCCCCTTCTTGCCTTCTCTGGCTTCTAGAGGCTGCCCACATTCCATGGCTCATGGCCACTTCCTCCATCTGCAAAGCCAGCATTGTAGCATCTCTTGTCATGTCTCTTTCTCTGACTCTTTTCTTCTGCCTCCTCTTCTACCTTTAAGGACCCTGTGATTACATTGGACACACTCAGATAACCCAGGATAATGTCCTTATCTTAAGGTGAGATGAGTAGCAACCTTAATTCCACCTGTAGTCTTAATTCCTCCCTGCCATGTAAGGTAACATTAATATTTACAGGTTCTGAGAATTAGGACATGGGCATCTTTAGGGGGCCGTTACTCTGCCAACCGTGTTCCCCCTCTCCTTTTCCTTCCACATATACTCTGTAGAACATTTTTATCTAGATCAGAAAATACATAGTGTGCCTACATATTTCATACCAATGGAAAATGTTACTAAATCAAGTCTCTCTTTTTTATTAATCTTAGATGAGGCCTCAGCATCCTCATGCAAATGATACTAATCTATTGCAGTTGGCTTGAGAAATGAGATGAAACCAGTTTGCTTTTCTAGATGTAGATATATAACTTGCAATATGTAATTTGTGCCAGGGAACACTGTAATAAGTGCAAACTCCTTTATTGCCTTATAAAATTACATGGTTTTTATTTATTTATTTTAAAAACAAAATTAATGTGTTCACTTATTTGTGTCCAAATAAGACTTGGAAAGTACTTGTTGATCCCTTTCCTTGTAGAAGTTTTTTGTTTTTCAGAATATTAAGTGGGTACAAATGTTTTTGTTACGTGGATACCATGTATTAGGTCATTAAATATGAAATGCCCAATTTTGAATCAAAAGTTTAGTTCATTATATCTCAAACAAGAAGCAGTACAATTACTCAAAGTATGTGCCTAAGCTGTCAACACACTTTTGCCATCTTAACTGTAGCTTGCTTGTGCCAGAATTCTATTTCTTCCTGATTCAGGCTTGGGAGGTTGTATGCTTCCAAGAATTGATCCATTTCCTCCATATTTTCTTGTTTGTGACAGTAGAGGTTTTCTTAGTATTCATGGATGGTATTTTGTAATTCTGTGGTATCAGTTGTAATGTGTCTGTTTTCATTTTTAATCGAGCTTATTTGAGTCCTTTCTCTTCTATATCTGGTTTGTCTAGCTAGTGGCATATCGATTTTGTTTGTCTTTTCAAAGAAACAACTTTGTGTTTTGTTGATCCTTTGTATTGTATGGTTGTTTTTTTTTTGGTTTCTATTTCATTTAGTTCTGCTCTGAACGTTGTTGTTTCTCTCTCTGTCTGTCTCTCTCTCTTTGTTTTTTTTTGCTGGATTTGGGTTTCCTTTGCCCTTCTTTTTCTAGTTCCTTGAGATATGACATTAAGTTGTTAATTCAGGATCTTTCTGTCTTTTTGATCTAGGCATTTTAGGCTTATAAACTTTCCCCTTAGGACTGCTTTTCCTGTTTCCCATAGATTTTGAAAGCTTATGTCCCCTTTGTTCAGTTCAAGGAATCTTTTGATTTCTACCTTAAATTCATCACTGACCCAAGGATCATTCAGCAACAGGTTGTTTAATTTCCATGACTTTGTGTAGATTGGAATGTTTCTCTTGGAATTGATTTCTAGTTTTATCCCACTATGGTCTAAGAAGATGTATGCTATGATTTCAGTTTTTTTAAATTTCCTGAGACTTGTTTTGTGGCCTAAGATATGATCAGTCTTGGAGAATATCCCATGTTCTGATGAGAAGAAAGTATGTTCATTAGTTTTTCAGTAGAATATTCTGTAAATGTCTGTTAGGTCGATTTGTTCTAGAGTCTTGTTTAAGTCAAGTGTTTCTTTATTGATTTTCTACTTCAATAATCTGTCCAGCCAGGGTGTTACAGTCCCTGGCAATTATGAAGCTATTGTTTATTTCCTTGCTTAGATCTAGTAGAATTTGCTTTATAAATCTGGGAGCTTCTGTGTTAGGTGCGTATATATTTAGGATTTTTATGTCTTCTTGTTGAATTGATCCCTTTACCATTATATAATGAGCATCTTTTTTTTTTTTTTTAACCATTGTTGATTTAGAGTCTCTTGTATCCGATATGAGAATGGCTATACCTCCTTTTGGTTTTTATTTGTGTGGAATATTTTTTTCCATCGCTTTACTTTCAGTCTGTGCAAGTCCTGCAAGTTAGATGTGTTTCCTGGAGACAGCATATACTTGGGCTGTGTTTTTTCATTCATTCAACCAGTTTATGTCTTACAAGTGGGGCATTAAGACCATTGATGTTCAGTGTTAGTACTGATATGTAGGGTACTATTCTGTTCATTATGTTGGATGATACCTTGTTGATTTGTTCTACCTCTTGTGCTGTTGTTTTATAAAAGCTTTAATTTGGGGTTTTTTTTGCACTGGTGGGTATCTATTGTGCTGTTCCCTGTATAATGCATTTCTGAGTATTTCCTCTAGGGCAGGTCTAGTAGTGACAAATGCCCTTTCCTTGTGAAATTTTTAATTTTTTTTATATGTTGTTGCAGTCATAATATAAATGCAAGTTTTTTGATGGATACTTAAGCCTCACTTTACTGTTGATAAAATTCTATTGGAGAATGTTGCTTAGATGAATGGCCCGATGGTTTGGTGTTAGAATACTCTTCCAGTCAAAGGCAAGGCTGGAGAGCCCACATGCAATTATAAATGTTGCCTTTTTTTTTTTTTTATCAGTATTGCATAGGCATTTTGTGAAAGTATATTTATAAACTACTTTTAATGGCTGCTTCAGGATGATTATCCTAGTGTTATTAACCATTCCTGTCATGATTGGATAGTTCGTTCATTCCTGGTTTTTGCTCTAATAAGGAACCCTACAATGGACATCGTCATGGCAAAAGCATTTCCATAATATCTAAAAGGGCTGTAAAACACTGAGTGCAGCCCATCAAACCACAGATAATTCACAGATAGTGAATATGTTCTTCTTGCAGATGCAATTCAAATGCATTCCCTAGAGTGGAATTGACACTTTCAGCCTTTAAGGGGTGTCAGAGAAGATACTTGGACAAGATGAACTGCTGCTGAGCCAGGATTCTCTAACTGAAATAGGCTTGATCCTTCCATCTTGCTATTCAACTCTTTGCTTTCTAGCAAATACATAAATCCACGTACCATCGTGTAAGGCAGTGTAATCAACAGGTAGAAAACATCATGTGGAGCACTCACAAGCTATCTCTCTCGTTCTCCCTCTCTCTCTCTGTTAGGCTCGCTCAAACCCATAACTCTATTAATAGAAGTGTTCTCCATGACAGTGTTGGTTGGTTCAGTGGCAGTCTCCTTGCACATGATCAAAGTGACTATATATATTTTTCTTTTTAATTTCAGCATATTATAGGGGTACAAATGTTTAGGTTACATTTTATCTTTTCATTTAAAAGGGACATACACTAAATACTAGGTTTGGTAATACTCACTAAATATGATTAATTCACTGGGATTTATGACAACCTGTAAAATTGGATTTTAATTACTGATTCCCTAAAAAACATTCAATAGTTGTGCTGTTTTTTTTTCCTGTCATGAGAGACATTGAGTTTGGGGTGGGTAGGGTCAGTGAGATAGCAGAGGAGAGGAGAGAAATACATGAGTGTCAGAGGATAGTCTGGTTGCGGTCTGTGTCACAACCTTGTACAATAGTGGTTCTTCGTATCTACCTTTTTAGCTATTTTGCATCACTCTGCCATGCTGCCCAGATTGCTTGCTAGCTTAATTGATTGGCCTATTCGTTCATGGAAACTATGCTAGATTTCTCTTACCATGTTTCCCTGAAAATAAGACAGAGTCTTATATTTATTTTTCCTCAAGAAGACACCCTAGTGCTTATTTTCAGGGGATATGTTATTTTTTTTTAAGTACGGTATAACAATCTACATTTATTCAAATATAGTTAAGTCGTCGTCTTCTGGAACATCATCGTAACTCTCCAAA